AGCATGAAGGAAAAGTATATTCTTGCTTGTGTTGTGAATCTTCATGCAAAAGGGCAGGTGTAGCGTTATATAAGCTTTGGATTGGAATACCAGAGTAAAAACATTCAACAGGAATAAAGCAAGTACCTTGCAGATTTTGTCCATATAGCAGCTTCTCAGTTTTTATTAATTTAAAAGCATGATAGACTTAATGCTGCAATCGCTTCATTTTAGGTCAAGGCCAAAATTGGAACCAAGGGTATAACAATTACTACGATCAAGGATATGGAAGTTACAACAGTCCTTACAGTGATCAAAGCTACAGCAGCTATGGGGGATATGATTATTCTGGGTATAATTACCCAGGTTATGGCTATGGCCAGGGATATGCTGACTACAGTGGTAAGAAGATTTTCATTTGACTTTCCATGTAATTGTATTGTCAATTTAATTTGCTTTTCTGGCCAGTCTTCCTTCCCAGAGAAAGTTGGTATCATTGTACATATTCAGAAGTGGAGGTGTATTTCTTTGGAATGCATTCCCTATGGAGTTGAGGGACGTAATATTTATATTACCTTTCAAAGAAGTGTTTAAAACCTCATTTTTTTGAACAGCCTTTTAACTCTTGATATTTTTAACTGTTAATTGAACTGTCTGTAATGTCCTGATTTTGAGTTTGCCTTACTGTAAATCACTGAGACACTTTGGTGATGTACTAAATAAAATAAAATGTCTTAAATCAATATTCTGAGGTGCTTTTTACAGGAATAGTGAATGTAGAATATTCTGTAACGTTGAAATAGTAAGGTCTAGGTTGACAGAATGCCTTTTTGTTGTATCAGCCTGCAGTTTCTTATGGTCCTAAGGCTGCCAATGTTCTCTCTTGCAACAGGACAGCAAAGCACATACGGAAAGGCATCCCGAGGTGGCGGTAATCACCAAAACAACTACCAGCCATATTAAAGAAATATTTGGGAAGAAACAGGTGTGTATCGGGTGAATGTGTCACCTCCCATACGTCTAATCTAATTTAAAGATCAATAGACAAATAAATAAATCACTTTTCTTGGATAGCTTGGTTTTTTTAAAAAATTAAAACTTGTGTGAATGTCTGTTAAACTTTCTGTTTTAAGTGTCTATAGATCTTTAACTCTGTAAAAGGTGGTTCGTCGTCCTTAGTATGTCAGAGAAACATAAGAGTTTTTCTGCTTACATTTTTGTGTGCCAGGTGGTGTAGACGAATAATTAAACTTAATAGAAGTGTTAACCAACAGGTAAAGTACTGAAATGGGTACAACTTAAGCAAAACAAGATTGTTGTCTTCTAACTCTGACATTATACCTTGTTTGTACCCGCCAGCGGGAACTTCCTTGCAGGCCGTGTGTCACCCTGACCACGTCTATCTCTGGGGGTCGCACGTTGCAGGCAGAGCGCAAGGCATACACCAGAAAACGCTGTCCTGTGGTATGGTCTCTTCCAACTTCATGTACCAGCGTAAAGATTAAAGTGGAAAACTTCAGACTTTGGCTTCTTTTTAAAAATCTTCTTTGAAGATTTAAGTGTCTTAACTTAACTTAAAATGGTTTTTTACAGGAGTTAAAGTGCATAAATGCCTTTACAGCTTAATCATTTTTGGCCTTCTGTTTAGTGTTGTATATCAATTGTGGACCTCATTTTAAGTGTTCGTTCTTTAAGATTTAATGCTTGCTTTTTTCTTTTATAGCTATTAGTGAAATCTACAAACCAAAACGAACTTTTAAATCTGGAAACATTAAAGATCATGTGCAAATAGCAGTTTCTATTTTAACCACCTGGCTAACAATAATTTTCCTTGGTGTATTGCCATTTTCTATTTTCGTTAGCAGTTGAAGCTATGAAAGATTCTTCCACAGCTTGGTTTCTAGTAAACCAAGAACTACTTTGCCGAGTTTCTACAGTTCTTTGACATAGCTCCATCATTGAGCTGAACTGGTACAACCGGGATGTAAAGTGTAATTGGGTTATAAAAAGTATTTCATGTTGACAGATGCATATGATCTTTAACAGTGAAGCAAGGAATAAATAGAGGACTTAAAGCAGTTCATGAAAATGGACCTTTTAAAAATTCTTCTAAACGTTGCACAGGTCTCATAATGATTTTGTCTTGGTTTTGTAGGTAGAGACTACAGCAAAGCCATCTTGCAGAACTTAAAAGGACTGACTGGAGGGTGGTCTTCGTGACATGAGATTGTTTTGTAAAAGACTTTTAGTGTATGACACAGCAGTGTCTGACTGTACATAGTGACTGGCTAGTTTTCTTTATGGTTTTTACTTTTTTGTCCTTTTGTCATCTGTGTTACGATGCCAATGTGGTTCTTGTGTTTATACAATTTTATTTGTATAATTTCTTGTTGAATGACTCAAATAAAAACTTACCTTCTGTGACTGTTGCATATTGAGGGTGCACTCTTGGCACTGCTGTATAGTAGCAAGAGGTAAACAACCTTTGGGACTCCATTGACGTGCTTCCTACGGATGCTGGAGTCGGCAGCATTGGAGTGCCGTGTTACGGATATGTACCTGGACTAGAAAATTGCAGTGAGGAGGCTGCAAATATAGAATGATTTTTCAGAAGAGTAGTGTCCTGTATTGTAATGCCTTATGATTTGTTATAATTTTGTTAACTGCCGGGAATCTTCAGAAGTCACAGTATAGAAATATTGTTAATAACAAATAAATTTCCATGCATTGAAATGACCACTTTGTGATCACATGAAAATAGAAGCAAACACAAGCCTTAATATGTAGTCATCAACTTTGTAAGGTGTTGACTGCTAAATAGTTCAGCTTTTTTACAACTCGTAATTGAAAATATATTCAGAATGTACTGCCGACTAGGCCTTCTTTGTTGTCTCTAACCCTATCCAAAGGTTATGCTGCTGAAATGTGACTGTAAAACCAATTCATGGAAGTAGGATAACGTTCTAGATAAGTAAGATTGGAGCACTTTCGTCACTGAAATCAGCACAATTAGGATTGCTGGTTTTCTACAATATTTTTGCTTTGTTGGTTGAAAAAAGTTTTCTAGAATTGGATTATCTGAAAATAATTGGGCTGGGGAAATCTTTCAATAAAGAGGAAAATACAGCTTAGATTATGCAGAAATACCTAAAGGCATGCTTTTACCAAAAAATCCCCACCTTTTTAATATCAGCTAAATTTGAACAGTTTTTCACTTTCCTCAATAGAACATTTAATAGGATTTTGTCAAACTTGATAAATGGTTAAAATTACTTAAGTCTTTGTTACAAATACAGAAATTTAGTGTAGTTGGGAAAGTTTGCATAAAACAACTACCTCATTCAGGCTTAAAGGCTAATTTTTGTCTGTAACCTTAAGAATGACTTTTATACATTTTTTAAAATGTTACACTGCCCAGAAACTGGCAGCAACTGGTTGAACTGGATCAATCGTTTGGTAGACTACCAGGAAACTCAGAGCTTAAGGCTTGACTGGGAAGTAAAGAAAAAAATATACAGACATTTTCTTACTGTTTCAAGAGAATTCCACAGATGCATCCAAGAAATAAGGATTTCAGGTTGACTCAAAGGGGGGTTCACTTTCAGGAGCTGTTTGCCCTTAAAAAAAGTGATGCATAAAAAAAACCACACCTGAAGCAGGATTATAAAATATATTAGGCAACTTTACTGGGTTCAGTTGTGGCCACTTTGAGGCCCTGGTGAGTTTATTTTACAGTTCAACTATGTTTCAGAAACGATTTGCAACAAATGCAATTATTATAGAAAAGATTATCAATTTGATTCTATTTACTCTTGCTGATAAACATTTCACTTGCATAAGTAGCTGATGAAATATGGACAAATATATTCCTAGAACAAAACAGAAAAGACAAACTTTGCAATACTTGTATTTTAAGAATAGAACACAGTACAACTAAGAATTTTTTTAAATACATGTTTTCAGTATGAATAAAACTAAAAATTGTCCAAAATATGAGATTTGGTTCATACTTCAAAATTAATCCGGTTGGAAATGAAAGGTCAAATTAGAGCCACTGAATACTCAGAACTGCGATGTCAAATGGATTTAAGTGCTAAATCTATTGGTGAATATTGCAAATAATTAGTTTAAAAAAAAGATTTGCCAGGAGCAATAGTTGAAGAGACTTCCAAATAGGTTCTTTTTCCTAATGTTCCTCTGTGTGTGTACTTTAAATTTTGGATTTTTCTGTACTTAAAATAGTTGTTTTGGGACATCAGTTGTAGAAAGACCATTGTCTCATGGAGATAGTGGTTAACTGAGGTAAGCCATTTAAAGGCCTCCAAATATTTTGGACTAACTTCTGCCACAGTCAGCATGAGGGACTATTTTTTTAAAACACCCAAAAGGTAGCATGTTGCCTGATCTTGGTGTCTCCTGTTCCCTGCACAGTTTTGGAATACCATCTGTCTAGCAGTTCACAGTAATAAAGTTATTATTTTTTAACTGGAGGCTTTGTTTTTGGATCCTCTGCTGTTCAATCCAGTCCCCTAGAAGGTGGATATGCTGACGGTTGGTCTTTATTAGTTAGCAAACACGCAAGGTTAAAGGGTAGTTTGAAAGATTTTTTTTTTTTTTTTTTTGCAGCTGAGTGATTTCTTCCTGGAGTCTTTTCTCTAGGAGTCAGAAGTGACTCCTTCAATGTGCGCGCACACAATAGCAATACAGTATTTCTGAGTCTTGGACAAAACATTCCCATTTTTTAATGTCTGGAGTAATGTTTCTCAACATGCTGGCAGGGGAACTTTGGGAGCCGAAGTCCACACATCTACAAGCGGCCAAGGTTGAGAAACCACTAGAGAATGGGGTAAGGAAACTACAATACTATACTGTAAAGGGTTAGAAGGGGCAACTTGGAACAGAAAGACCCAGGGTGGTTCTGCTCGAGAAAGGTCGCTCTAGCAACCTGCCTCTATGATGCGCTAACCAATAAGCGTGCGGAGAGGAAATGCGCGCGAGGAAACGGGGCCCTCGCTCACGTGACCGCGCCGCCGCATTCTTTCCGTCAGCCATTTTAGATCGGAATCAGCGAGGCGGCGCCATTAAAGTGCGAGAAAGGAGGAAATAAGCGGGAGCCCGATCTTCCTCGTAGCCGGAGCCTCGGCCCCTGTGGATCCCGCCTTTCCCCTACGGCGGCATATATTTACCCCCCTTGAGATCGGCCACCCGAGTCTCTACAGCGGCCCCCATGTCGGACGACCAGTTTGCCGGAGATGAAGCGGTGGTGGAGGCTTCGGAGGAGGCTGAGCAGCTCGAAGGGATCGTGGCTCCCCGCGGCAGCGGCGCCGAAGGGGGCGGGGGGGGGGGAGGGGGAGGAGGAGGGGGCGGCGGCGGCGGCTCGGGCGAATCGGAGGGAGCCAAAATCGACGCGAGCAAGAACGAGGAGGATGAAGGGTAAGCG